CCGATATCAGGAAGGCTGTGAAGGCACACAGTCCATCTGCAAAGAGAGGAAATTTGATTAGCAGCTGCACACAATGGGCCCATGGCCGTGCTTGTGTAGATGCATTTGTGTGCGCAGTTTACTGGAAATGTGTTGGGGGGGGGGGGGGGGGGGGGCAAATAGGCTCTACAAATCTAACAGGTCTACTTACATTTGCTGGACAGGAGCTTTTCAAAGGACTCTTTCCACCTGATGCATTCCTCCAGGGTTGGCCTGGAAACAGATAATGAAAAGATGGTTAGGTTAAACCAGAATTTATATATATATATAAAATAAGGCCGCACTTAATCAAATTCATCTGTGGGTGATACTTACTTATCTTTTCCTATTTTCCAGCAGGATAGAGTCCAGCTGGGCTTCTGCAAAATGCTTCCCAGCCTTGCTTTTAGCTCCTTGGCCCTGAGGAAAAAATAAATTAAAAAAAGCTTAGATGTGTTTTTCCACCCTCACTGCATGCCCACATATAAGTGAATGTAGCAATAACAAATACTGCATGAATCAATGTTGAGGGTAAACATCAGAAATGAAACCTAACACTCATATTTTTAGCTTCTAAAATGCTCACATAGATGCAAAGTTGGCATCTACATGAAATATTCCAAACCCTTAAGCATCAGTTTTTCGATGAAGCTGATTGTACCTTTCCAAGCAGCAGGCAGGCAGCGATGCAAGTCCTTTACACATAGCAGCAGGTTGGTGCAGGAGCAGGTGGAGTCGGTCAGGGTGTAGTTAAGTATCCTTTCAGCAAAGCTCAGTCAGAAGCGAGACAGTTTGTCTGAGCCTGAACAGAGCAGAGGTTTTATAGCTCCACCACCCCCTGCTTCTGACGTGTCATCGACTCTACCAGCCAATCACAGCGAGGAGCAGGGAGGGAGAGAAAGGAGAAGTCAGTAAACGTGGGAGAACATGCAAGGACAAGGCTGGGAAATTACTGTCAAATGATAAAAGCTTCTAACAATTGAGCATTTCCCCCTTAAAAACAACATTAACATTTATTCTTCCTGTGTTTAATTCATTTTTTTTATACTAACTGATTTACATTTTTATCCAAACACAGAACATACACTTTAATCTAGTTGTTCATTTTCTTAGGCTCTGACACACACGTAAACATCTTTGCAAATTTGAAAAGGTACAGGATTTACAAATGTAAACCAAAACTTTAACTATTGGGACTGTTTACTGCTTCGTCTTTTGTTAAAGATAACGGATGGATGGATGGATATTAATAATTCAAAATGCTTTTCAGTTAAGATTCTACCTGTATACTTTTTTTTATAGAATATATTTAACAAAAATGGCCTTATCAAGAATCAAGGTGACTGTCATTAACATCACATCGTACATGAGGTGGAGCAAAATTGTGTATTCAAGGTCCCAGTAACACCCAAAAATAGCAAAAATATAAGTATGAAAAGAAACACTATACAAGGCTCTAAGCTATACGTTAAACAATAATAATGTAATATAACATGTTTTAAATAGCAGCACAAACATGAGTATGTTGTGAGCAGATAGGTATGAATACAAGAGCTTATGGTAAAAAATCAGCAGCATGGATAACGTGAAATACAGTGAACCCTCGTTTTTCACGGGGGTTACGTTCCAAAAAGAACCCGTGATAGGTGAAATCCGTGAAGTAGTAACCTTTATTTTTTTTTTACAATTATTATACAATGAAATACTCCATAATACATTCAAACCAAAGAACAAGACCTTTTTACAGGCCTAAGCATTTGTTTAACAAATAAAAGTACTGTATAAACATTTTTTTACAAATAACTACTGTACTGGAGAGACTGTTTAGCCAATCAGAATGCAGAACACAATGAACGATGCAAATCCGTGAAGCAGCAAGACCGTGAAAGGTGAATCGCGTTATAGCGAGGGTTCACTGTATCTCCAAATAAAGTGGCATTACAGTGGTTATTCTGGTTAGGGATTTATGAGTCTAACAGCTTCAGGGTAGAAGCTGTTCCTCAGTCTAGCGCAGGGCTTTTCAAAAAAACTGCGCAGGGGGCCACAGTTTCTGAAAGCCAAAAGTTTGGGGGCCGGACATCCAGCGATCAAAATCATTATGTAAATAAACCAAGTTTTACAATGATCTGTTACATTTTACATTTGTTTATTTTATTTTGCATTGAATCATAAATGCAATAAAAATAACCCGAAATCAAATAAATAAATAAATAAATTATATATATATA